TACTCTTTTTATTCAATATATAATAGGTCTTGGATATATACAAACATATCTCAAGGGTTTGGCTCCAAACACCAAACAGATCATTGCAGCATCCCATAATCCCCTCTGTTTCAGCCCTGTTTCAAAAGTGCTGATTCTCTGTCTGTTACTTTAGATGAAAATAAGGAGCCCCTCCCCACGCCCCTCTGAGAGATATTTGTTTAAAAAGAACACAATGGTGCTCTAGGAGGACATTCAGGTGATAAGGGGGGGGTTACATTGGTTAATGATTGGCTAATGGTTACACAAGCCAAAAATAATTATGACATCATAAAGTGGCCAAAATCTGATCAGCTCATTTTCAGACACGTTTTGATATAAACGGATCACGGTTAGTGAATCTTTTTTCCTGAAGCTTTCAGAATCTCTTTCCACAGAGGGGACACATGTTAATGTATGAAAGACATGAAAAAGTGGATTTTGCATAACAGGTGACCTTTAAAATGAACCAGAATGTGCAACTCTCTATTTCCTTTTGTTCAACACAAGATTCAATGTTATTTGTTATCTTTATGTATTAATACTACATAATTATAAAAAAAACAACAACAGTGCTGCTCTCATAAAACGACCACATCTGTCCTTCAGTGATGAACCCCTGCGGCCGACACAACGGAGGCTGTCAGCAGATTTGTGTGTTGAGTCACCGCTCCGACAATGATGGTCTGGGCTTTCGCTGCAAGTGTAGCCATGGTTACGACCTGCATTCAGACCGCCGGACCTGCTATAGTGAGTTAACCTTGATTCCACGGCCAAATATACTTATTAACGTCTGTTACTCAATTCATATCATTGCTTATGTTCTGCCTTCGGATGTTACTCATAAGTAATGCACATACAATTTACGAGATCAACACACATTTTATAAATTGAAATATTTTTGTATTATTATTTTTGATTTATTTAGGTAGCAATTTCAAAAGGTTTGCTTATCAAGGTGATGCTATGCTGACTTTGGCGTACACAAGTTATCCATCCATAGTCATTATTATCCAAAGTAATCTCAAAAGTGTTGGTTCGAATCAAATTTAAGGCATAATATGCATGATCATTACACATTTTTCCATGTCAAATATGTTGTATCTAAACGATCTTCTTAAAACAAACAGTTAAAAAAAAGGAAACATGTTTAGAAAGCATTGTTCCTGCTAGTAATCGCTGCCACCTGCTCTTTGAACAGAGGTGAAGGACTTCCTGTTGTTGGCCACCTCTCTGGGGGTGCGGGCCATCCCACTGAACTTGTCCCTGCAGGAGGACATCGCCCTGCCCCTCTCTGGGCTCGGGACGTCTTTCTTTGGCTCAGCTGTGGAGTTTGACGGCAAAGAGGAAGCCATTTTCTACAACGACAGGTCCAGAGGCCTCGTCTATAAGTCCAACCTCAATGGCACTGGTGGGTTACTTTTAAAGATGTATTATAATGCTCTGTTACGACAGCACTGTGAGATCAGGTTGGAGTTTACAATTTATTTTCCTTATGCATTCTCAGTCCAACAGATCTTAACGGGTTACAGAGTGGGAATAATTGACGCCATGGCTTACGACTGGACCTCTAAGGTCTTGTTTTGGACCACGAGCACTTACAAGTCGGTGGTGGCCTTCAGAGTCGCAGACAAGTCGAGACGAGACGTTGTGACGGGATTAAGGAACCCAAAAGGAATCGCAGTGCATCCCAGTGCTGGGTGAGAGCTTAAACGTATCCGGTGTAAATACTGGAGAGAGATTGGTTGGCTCTTAGGAGAATTTCACGTTGCAGGGATATCAATGGAATAAAGTACAGTATACATAACAGGCCCCCACCATATGCATTTTGTTCACTATGATGAACTGTATTATTCAAGTTCAGAAATTAAAATGGATTGTCTTGCCTCTGAAAAATACAGAAAAATAAATACTTTAGGCAACAAAGTTCAGGTATTATCCATAGTAAGACATCAAAGGTAAGTGATTTCTTAAGCTGAAACCATTTATCGACAAATATATTAGACGTTTGACAAAAACAATAACCAACGATCTTGCGAAAATGGCAAATCATTCTGTTTTCAGACTCTCCAATATGGAAATGTCTAGCTTTCCATATTTGTATTTGATATCAAACTGAATATCTTTGTTTTTTTGGATTAACAAAACAAGACATTTAAGACATCATTTGTTGACCACTAGTATGGTTATTATTTTATGATCCAATTGATTATTCTAGAAAATAGATTATAAGACATTCATGAGTTTCATCCCTACTGATTTTATTATGTACTGTATATATTTTCTTTTTGATTTACTCTAAACTGATTTGTCCTCTGTGTGTCTAATAAAACGTTGATCCACAGCTACTTGTTCTGGTCTGACTGGTACCGTCCCGCGGTCATCATGAAAGGCTTCACAGACGGCAGCAACGCAGTTCCTCTGGTCAACACAACGCTGGGATGGCCGTGTGGACTTTCTGTTGACTACGTGTAAGCACAGTACCTTTAGTAAACTATTCGCAGGCATTTTATTTAATTTATCAGTATTCCTCCTATTTGCTGGTTGATTCCTTGTGATTGGGCTTCAACAGGATGGACCGGCTGTACTGGGTGGATTACCAGTTGGAACAGATTGGTCACATTGGCATCGAAGGATACGACAGACAAACGTTTACCAATATCGGCCAGATCACACAACCCTACTCCCTAACCATCTATTCAGGTGAGTCTGTTAGTCTCTCCTCATACTTCCCATTTAATCTAATATTACACATGCATACTATTATTCAAATTAAATATGTCATTATTCAGGTTTATCTTCAGCTTTGATACAATAAAACCAAAGGTCTTATATAATATAAACGTCTAAATATTGCTGAACTGACCTACACTGTGGTGAACAGAGGGTAACAAAAAATAACAAATACATTTTCAATATATATATAATTTTATAAGAAAAATAAAATGTCTTCATATTTCCATTCTGCCATAAGGGATGTGTGTGTGTAATACCTTTGTTCTTATACTGACTTGGACATTATGTTATTAGAATAGGGTAAATCATGTTTTGGGGGAAATTATATACCACTTATTTGAGCTCATAATCTTATAAGTCACTCATTATTTGTGTTCTTAAATGTCATTTGTTGTGAATGTAAACATGTGTTGAGTACCTTTACTGGTTTCAATTCCTGAACCATATATATTTTGCAGACTACCTGTATGTAGCTGATGTAAGGACCAGAGGAGTATTCGAGATGAGGAAGAGGGATGGAGGAGGAAACATCATGATCAGACAAGGAGTCACCGGCATCATGAACGTCAAGGCCTACACAGCTGACCTGCACAGCGGTAAGCTCTCACAGCATTGGATTCTGGGGATAGTTAGACAGGTCAGGCCTGCACTAACTGAAGCAGGATGGTTAAGAACATCATATACAAAAGAAATGAAGGCTGGACCCTCAGTTGTGCATACACACACAATGCTCTCATGCCAGTTACAATTGATTATAGTGGAAGCCTAGTGTTAACAGTCTATATGCCAGCTATCTTGATGAGGTTATCTTTACATAACCTGCCTTTCAATTGTTGTTTTAAATATTATATTTAACTGGAACTTCTCCTTTTTGTCCGGGACATTGAAATCTTCCAGGACACATTAACCGGCACCAGAACTTCACGGAAACCTTGGTTTATTTAACTGTGTGTATAGACAGGACTAAAAGCTAGTTAGTAAACAAGAAGGGCAGTGACAAAGCAACAATAGAACATTTGATATATATCAATATCTCAAATCAGAATACTAAGTGCCTGCATGGATAGAGTGATAGCTGTGCTGTGACCAAACCAGATATAATATCCAGAGACCTGCTGACTCTTTCTTCATCCTCCTCCTGACAGCTATCACCAGCCGCTGCAATGTGGTGGCCAACGGGCTCTGCAGCCACTTCTGTTTCCCGACCCCCTCCTACAGTCGAGTGTGTGGCTGTCCATATGGCATGAAACTTCAGGCCAATCAGAGGGACTGCATCAAAGACGATTCTGTTCCCCCACCTGATAACAACTGTGGAGACCTCGCCTTTGAGTGTGATGAAGGACGCTGCAGGCCCAACTCCTACCGCTGTGACGGAATTAGTGATTGTGTTGATAAGTCTGATGAGGCCAACTGCACCGATACAGGTGAATGTATAATATTTAAAAAGTGTGTGTGCAAAATGAATATGCAAACCATCATTTTTCTTTTTTTATTACTGCCGATTGTTATTTCATATTTTGTTCCATTCTATTTTAATGTAAATACTGCTATATTTGACTATATATCTTTTTTTTTCAAATATTTTTTAATGTTATTATATTTTTCTTTAAATAGTTCTCTATCTGTGTTTTTTTAATTTTTGTTTTACTTTTATGTGTGCACCATGACATTAAGTCAAATTCCTCGTACGTGTCAACCTACCTGGTAATAAACCTGTTTCTGATTCTGATTAATCATTACCAGGAGCGACCTGCTCTCCGAACGCGTTCACCTGCAACAACAAGCACTGTATCCATTCCGGTTGGCGCTGTGATGGCATGGATGACTGCGGGGACGGCTCTGATGAGACGAACTGTCCCACTCGTCTTCCCACCACGTGTGACCCCAGCTACTTTACCTGTGATAACAACAGGTGTATCTCTAAAATATGGTTGTGTGACGGTGACAACGACTGCGGCGACGGCTCGGATGAACACAACTGCAGTAAGTATTTGGGGACTGTCAGTCACTGTAATGTAACATGATATTACTCCATATGATACTGAACAAACCAAACACTTTGTGTACATTTCGTGCAACAAAAGTCTAATAAAAGAGCTTTGATTGACAGATTCGACCATCACTACATGCTCTCCAAACTACTTCCTGTGTCCCGACCACCGCTGCATTTTCAACTCCTACGTGTGCGATGGAGACCAGGATTGTCTTGATGGCTCTGATGAGAAAAACTGTGGTATGGATCTTTACAACTTAAACCTTTATTGTTTTGTTATGTTGATAATAAATTCACCTTAATGAGCCACATTTTAGGTTGTGAAATACCCATTCATGTTTTTTGCTTTAAAAATATTGAACCTACTATTTTTCTACTTTCCACCATAAGAGTACGCCTGTGCCTCCCATGAGTTTGCCTGTGCCAGTGGGGACCAGTGCGTCAGTTCCACATATCAGTGTGACGGAGTGTTTGACTGCAGGGACCATTCTGACGAGCGAGACTGTCGTAAGCAAACAAACATAATAATTGTTGTAATAAGTGATGTGGTTATGGCTGATTGCAACACTTTTATTCTGTTAGATATATGAATGCGTGTATTATTGAATCTGATAGAAATTAATAATTTACCTGAATACTTTAAAATGCTAACCATTACAATTTAAACATCTCGCTCTGTCTTTAAGTTACTCTAAGCGAGAGTACTTTCATTTTTAAAGTAATTTTGCTCCTCCAGCCACCCGAGGTCCAGGCCTCTGCCACGATGAGGAGTTCCAGTGCCAGACGGATGGTTTCTGCATCCCAAAGGAGTGGGAGTGTGACGGCCATCCAGACTGCGAGGACGCGTCTGACGAACACAACTCCTGCGCCCCTATCACCTGCAGGCCCAACTATTTCCAGTGTACCAACAAGATATGCATCCCAGCAAGCTGGTTGTGTGACGGCGACAACGACTGCCGGGACATGAGTGATGAGCAGAACTGCCCCACCCCTCCATTCAGCTGCCCCTCTGGACAGTGGCAGTGCCCCACGGACCTGCTGTGCATCGACCTGGACAAGGTGTGCAACGGCCAGAGGGACTGCCCCAATGGAGCCGATGAGTCGCCTATTTGCAGTGAGTTATTGAAGTATCTTACATTGTATATGAGGGCTCAACAACTCATTGAAATCATTTGCAATATACAAATGGCAGGAAGAACAACATTTGTAAAGGCTAAATATATGTTAAAGTATTCATTTGAATGTATTGTGGAGCTGCAGAGATATCATGACCTACAAATTGTGTTTTACAAACTTAACTAAATATATTTGTTTGGTCCAGGCTAAAATGATCAATCCCCCCACATATTGTATTTTCAATATTAGTCAAAACAATCGCAATTTGTTATTTTTTCCAAATCGTGCAACCCTATTAGTTATCACATATAGCCTCAGGAAAGAGTAGTCCTACACAAACAAGATGCATTTGATATTGTGTTTGTCATTTCATGTAGACCAAGATGACTGTGGGCTGAACAACGGGGGCTGCAGTAACGGCTGTGTCCAAGGACCGTTTGGGGCTCAGTGCACCTGTCCGTCAGGATTTCAGCTTCTCAACGACTCCAAGACCTGCGAAGACATCGACGAGTGTCTGATCCCAGGTTTCTGCAGCCAGCAGTGCTTCAACGAGAGAGGAAGCTTCCGGTGCTACTGCTCAGAGGGTTACATCCTAGAGCCTGATGGGCGCACCTGTAAAGCTGCAGGTAAACAACACACAGTAGCATCACAAATAAATAAAGCTCTAATATCAAGAACATTTCACTGAGATTCTGGGTGTGTATTAATAGGCCAAATCAGTTTGAAATGAAGACAATCAATTAAAAAAGCCCTAAATGTATAATTTACAGCCACCTAAAGCATAGTAATATACTAACAAATCAAAACACCACATTTAAACTAAGCAGAAGATTATTCATTGAGTATATTATTTATATTTGAAAACATTCCGATTTGTAGGAAACAAGATATTTTTCTGCCCTTAGACCCAGGAGCAGCTACACTTCTGGTTGCCAAGCGAAGCCAGATCATCGCCAATCGGATCAACATGAGACCCCCCCTGTTGCGTCCAGTTGTCAGCGGTTCGAGCATCGTGACTGTGGACTTTGATCGTGTAACTTCCAGAATATACTGGGCAGATGCCTCGCAGAAGAAGATATGGAGTGCCTACCAGAACGGCACCGACAGACGGGAAGTAAGAGAAATGATTGCACAGATGTGTTAAAGCAAGAGATTTCAACCGGTGGTCACACATTTTCTCTGAAAGGAAAACATACACGTCAGAATATAGAATATATGAATAGAATTTGAACATGGCTGCTGAAGGGCAACACAAAGACGGGCTTAAACTAAATCAAACTGTGTTCGATGTGTCCCTGTTGTTTAGGTGTTCTCCACCGGTCTGATGGTACCAGAGAGTATAGCTGTGGACTGGGTGGGGCGGAACCTTTATTGGACCGACTCTGTGATGGAGAACATTGAGGTCTCAACTCTGGACGGTCGCTTTCGGAAAGTCCTTCTCACCAAGAATGTTACCAGCCCCCGGGGACTGGTTTTAGACCCCCGAAACTAGTAAGTAAAGACTGTTAAGCAGAAACTGACATGGGTATTTAGATGGTTTTTAATTTGACGTTACATCACATTTGAGCTACGGCAGCCATGGAAGTGAGAAGAGATAGTGATCCAAATAATGTAAATTGTTTTGTTCTCCTGTGTTTATGACTTAAAGGTAACCTATCATGCTATTTTTAGGCAATAGCATAGGTCTCAGATATATACAAAACATGTCTATGAAGTCTTTTGCTCAAAATACCAAACAGATCTCCCATTCTAGCGATGCCTCATATCCCTCTATTTCACTTCCTGTTTCAAAAGTGCTGATTTTGGGTATAAAGCTTTAAAAAAAAAAGGGAAATTGATAATAAGCTGAGCTCATTCGGGAGATTCTACCGGCAGCTACTGTCTAAACTAAATACTGCGGTGATGAAACGCCATATCATGGATTAGCAAGGATTATTTCTGAAACAGTATGGAGCTCAAAGGCTTTCTCTCTTGCCGGTTATACCACAAGGTGAGTTCCTTTTTATTTCCTGCTTCTTCACACACATGCTCTGTGCAGTACAGGTTAGCTCTGAGTGTTAGCGATGCTAATGTAAACATGCACCGACCATATTACGTCCAAAACAGTCGGCCATTGTTTCTGATAGCAACGTCCCTGATGGGGCCGTGGGTCCACATTTCAGATATTACGTCATATTGGACGCAAATCTGGATCAGCTCCGTTGTCGCCCCGTTTTTAGAGATTTGGGTACGGAGGAAAAGAGAGAGGGTTTTATTTTCTGACGCTGCGTGAGTTCCCCGACACACCGGGGACACATCTTTATGTATAAAAGACATCAAAAAGTGCATTTTGCATGATAGGTCCCCTTTAAATAAAACATGTTTTTATAAGGATAATCTTTGTAGGTTCTCTATCTTTTTATATATGTGAAACTAGTGGGAATAAAATCCCCTTTAGTGTAGTAGTGGTACACTTCAGCCTCTTGTGGCCAAAATGAGTATTTCAACAACAAACACCCGAGATGTTTCTACCTGGAATAAATTAATTCTCTTTTCAAGGATTTTTTTATATTATCCTTGCAGAATCTTTGTTATGCCTTCTATAGTTTTAACACAGAAGAGTAGTGATGGCAGTTTGACACTGAAGCTTCGAACGGAGCTTCAACCCTGGACTTCCTATTCCATAGAAGCAGTGCTTCGAAGCTTGCTTCAAATCACGTGACATGTGACTTGCTTTTTCAAATCACGTGACATATGACGGTTCCCGAATCCAGCAACTGCTTCATTTCGCTGAATGATCACTTAACTTGGTTCGGGTTACAATCCGCCGATTTCAATGCACTGCCTCGTCCTCGAATCTGGACAGGTTTTACAGGGGTTGCAAACAGTTTCAAATTTTAGCCGCCTTCATACACTTTATAAACCGCTCTATAACAATGCGCAATGTGTGGGTTTCGTTCGTTTTGCTGGCTTGTCGTAGTTTGCGTTGTTGCTGTTGGATGTTTGCTGTTGGCATTGCATTGGATCATTATAGAGCCAAGCCAGGGAAGAAAAAGTAGGTCGTTCTGGTCGTGAAACACTTTCAAAATGTGGAGAAAGAAAATGACTAATATAAAAACAGGTTTCAATGGTCTAAGGAATAGATAGAAAAACCCCCAGTGGATAGAGGACGGCGGCAGGATGCGGCGATCGTCTCCGCGGCAGCCTGTTCAAAGCCTGGAATAGTAAACTTTTAATCATTGCTTTTTCACTGTAATACTTTAATTGACTGATAAAGCACCTCTCCACCCAAAAATGTCAAGCACTCTCCTAGTCTCTCTCAATAACCCATACATACATTATCAATCTTTAATTGCAAATCGAAAAATGATATTTCAGTCTTAGTGTGTGCTGTGCGCATGCGGAAATATTTTTCAAGGCAAAGGAAACGTTAAACCCACTGCAGCCTTGCACTTCCCAGGAGAGGTCGCTGTAAGCTCTCGAGAAATGAACCTATTTCCGACACCATTGTCCAAGTGGTTCGACGCTCATTTTGCCCATCAACTACAGAAGAGAACTTGTCAAGGCTAGGCAAAACAGTATGACCAAAAGCACGACTGCGACAAACAAAGTACAAATAAAATCTTTTACTAAAAAATAGTGACACTGTGAGGCTCTCTCGTTAGTAGTTAACAGGTTTCGAAACAGGTTCGATAACAAAAAAACCACTCCTAACGAGGAAAAGGTTGACATAGTATCAAAAGTCAGAAAAGATAAAGTAAGATCCAAAACTCGGTTCTTAGTCTCTTAGGCAGATTAACATGGGGACTTCACGCTGGCAAGGTCAGGCACATGGACGAAACGAACTGGCAACAGACAAGGGAGACAGAAACTAATATATAGGCAGGCTAAGGGGAACAGGTGCAGACAATTTAGGGCGTAGTCGACAATCACAGTGGAGGGAAAACACACAAAGGAGGAAGTAGGTGATCTGCAACAAGAAGGAAAGGTTACTACAAAATAAAACAGGATACAAGAACTGAAGTAAATACATTAACTTAACAGATTTTACGAGATATAAAAAGAAACAATATTTAAATCCCTAGAATTTCTTCTTTCTCACTTCCACTTTGCATCTGTTAGTAGCCTAGTGACTTAAGCTTTTCATTGCCATATCTACACTGTAATAACTAATGTTAGCACATGAATAGTAAGCCTTGAATCTTTAATCTTCCCTTCAGGGTTACCGTACTTACAGCAGCGATAACAAAAAACTCATCACACTGTCATTCCTCGCTCCATTCACCAACCTTGATGTTCTGGTCGACTGGGGTCAGAACCCCAGGCATCGAGCGGGCCGGGAAACAGACCATGGATTGGAGCATGAGAAAGGTCATCGTCAGCCCACAAACCTCTTACTGGAGCCCAACGGGCCTCGCCCTGGACTACACCACCGCAGGGTCTTACTTGCGAACGCCTACCTCAAAATATATTGACGTACTGTGACTTATGATGGCAATAACCGCTATCAGGGTTTATGGCGAGTGACATGGTAGGTTCAGTTTCACTCCAGTTTGTTAGGTTTTGAGAAAAAAAGCAATGGTGACATTTTACTTATGGCACGACAACACAATAACAAAATCAAGACAGTATTTTACTTTATAGCTTGGTTTTTGTTCGTTAATAGAAATCAAAATTGTTTTTCCATTTTTGTAAATTATTCATTGATTTGAGGCATATTGAAATTGCAATACACACAAAAACGGAAGTATTTTATCTTTTGAGAATAAGTGTGATCAATTCATAACTAATATATTTTTCATACATTGACAAACTTAATTTAAGTCGTAGACAAGAGTAATCTTAAACCGTATCCACTAACAAAATCAGGGAGAGTGTTAACACTACCTTACTTTTGATTGTGACTCAAGGTAACAATAGGAGCCTTTGATTAATAAACCAACATCATTCCCCCTTCATCCAGGGTTTTTCTCCAGCACCCTCATGGTATGACCATCTTTGAGTACAACATCTTACTGAGTCGGACCGCACACCAGCAAAGTGATGAGGACGAACAAGTTCCGCACGTGGCAACATCACCACGTCTGATTAACCAATGTCTACCAGCCCAATGGGCATTCGTAATGGACCCATCCCATACAACAGCCACAGGTAACTTCAATCAACTGTCAAGGTCTACTTTTTGTTTACTGCACCTTCTATATGTTATGCACCACTACTGCTGACAGTGTTGAAGTTAATACAAAGTTGCAGCAGTTATAAATATCTTTAGTTGCACAGAGATAGCTGAAAATAATAAATGCTGTCAAATGTCTCACTTGGAGTTGACTCTGTTTTGTGTGTAGCATCCAACCATGCAGAGAGCACCGTGCACTCAGCTGTGTCTGCTGGCAGGCCTCAGACCCCGTCTACACTGCCACTGTCAGTCTGCTGGAAGCTCGATGCCGAAAAACGCACCTGGTCAAAAGGTACGTTTATTTTACGTATATCGGATAAAACCATATTACTGATTCATTTGAAGATGAGCTAGATGTATTTCTCTCTTAGAGCTTGACCACCCCCTTTTTAGTTTCACTCTTGTTTTATAGTGACGGGACAGTCCAATTAATCAACTGTCACAAAAAAACAGTAAATGGAGCTTAGCAAACATTGCTAATTCCAGCTGTTGCCCGGCTGTATGATAATGGGACACCCCTTAAATCCAATACATCAACAGCATTTGTTATTAAAAAAAAGGACGAAAGTCAAGATAGATACAGAGGAAAGATAAAAGAGAACAATTAAAATGCTAAACAACCCAGTACTACATGCAGTCACAATAGCACATCACAATCACCATAACAGAAACGACCAATCCATGGATCACAACATGTAACACACACGCCACATCCAACACAGACTAGTGTGTGCAGGTGTTGTTCTCAGTGAACCATGTTTTTAAGTGAGCTGTAAAGGTGGTACTGTATATGTATGTCTTTGATTTGTGTGGGTAGTGAGTTCCAGTTTTGTATTGCTGTGACCGAGAATGATAACTGACCAAAAGTACTCTTCCTGAATGGGACTGATTGGTCGGCATGTGTGGAGCTTCTAGTGGTCAGTCTGGTGTTAGAGAATTATGTTCATCTCCTAATCCATACTGTTATTCTTTTCTAGATGACACTCCCTTCTTGATGGTGGTGAGAGATTCTGTGATTATTGGCATTCCCCTGGACCCCGCTGACCCTTCCAACAATGCAATGGCCCCAGTGTCCGGCATCAGCCAGGGGCGGGACATCGACTTCGACGACCAGCTGCAGTTAATCTATTGGGTCCAAAGCACTGTGAGTTCCTAAACTGAACCATGTAGAAATGTTTTATGATATAGAATTAATTTACTGTGATGCAATGACAGCTTTTGATTACAATTCAAATATATTAAAGACCACTGTTCATTGTCTTTTGTATTGCTTAAGATGAGAAGATAAATGTTAGACTTTGCAGAATGCCTTGCTTGAGTTGATGATTTTCATGATATAATGGAATATATGCTTAATTAGAGAGAAGATAGATATTTCCCCCCGTTTTTGGTTATTTTTTGACACATTTAATGATTATTTTTAGTTTCTCAAATGCTTGTTTTAACGCAGGGTCTTTGATTGTGCTCCTATATCAGGGTTCTATATGGCAAGTGAAGACCAGCGGTACCAACAGGTCTGAGTTTGCTCCAGCTGCTTTCATGGGCTCGCCGTCTGGTCTGGCTTTTGATTGGATAGGCCGGATTATGTATTACACCAATCCCACTGTGAAGACCATAGAGGTAAGGTAACAATGTGTAATAAAACCAGACATTAGATCAATCAATCAACAACTTTTTTAATCCCGCAAGGGCCAATTGGTTATGAACAGCTTATGTCATGCACACAGGCAGGAACATACAGGAAGAAAGCACTGGATGTGGATCATTCCAATTTACACGATAAATAGTTCATAGCATCACAATAAATACACAATCAAGTAAAACAATTAATCAGAAAAACCTATCAAGAATTCAAAGTTTGAGTTACTTGAAAACAAATGACTAAACATGTAGTACGCTGGAATGTTAAAGGGGAAAAAACACATGGGAAAAATGTAATAGATTACTAGGGGATGCTGTAGTGTTAATTTATATAACCTTTTACAATACATGTGTCTTGGATGTCTTCTTAGTCAGATTATTTTGGTTTAATTAATTAATTTACTATACATTATTTTGTTTTCTGTAATCTACAATTCATAGTATTTGCTGTGGATTTGTTGGTGACATATATGAGTGTTTTAACACCTCATTTATGTTTTGACATCATTATCGAGCCAGTACCTAACTGTCCACCTCCCTTAGGTTATCCGTGTGGATGGAGTCCAGCACTACAGGAAGACCCTCATCACCTTCACTGGTAAACCTGAGGGAGCAGGAGAGCCCATTGGAATAGCCCTGGATCCAGCCCGAGGGTAAAGCATCTGTTCGACATATTGTATATTTGCTATATTAATTCAACTCAGTGACATGGGGAAATAACTATGGAAGGAACCAATGTCAATATCTGAGGGTAAGATGTGTGTTTCTGAAGGCGAGAGCATTACCTATTGATTTGTAAGTACGTGCTTGCTGGCACTAGAGAGACTGAACCAACAGAACAGGACGTGATTAATTGGACAGCATTAAACAAGCAGACAATAGCAGCCTGACAAGGACGAAGCAGTCTTCTCTTTTGAAGGACCATCACATAATTGGAAATGAAGAGGATTTATTTCTCCAGCAACAACCTCTCAATCCAAGTCATGTCCTCTGTAATATAAATAACCCACCCAAAACTAAACAGGCGACACCGTTTTGATATCCTAACATTTTAATACATTAGTTTTAAATAGGCACGTTCTCCATATATAAATGTTTTAAGAAAAGATGAGGTGCACACATAGCTCAATAGAAAAACTTTGATTAACATTATTCTCACATTTACACTTTCCCTTCACAGGAAATTGTTTTGGACAGATAAGGGGTCAGACAATGGAGTTCCCCCAAAGGTTGGCAGTGCTGATATGGACGGGGGGAATCCCAGGAACCTCTACACAGAGAACCTGGCCAACATAGGATACATCGCTGCTGACATCTCCACCAGGAAACTCTACTGGGGTGTTTCGGGCTCAGGGGTGGTAAGTTCAGTACACATGTTATATATATACTGTATATAATATAGTCCCAGATAAAATGTTGTCCGTTTCTTTCAATTTCCATGCCGACTGCACTTTTGAGATGTTTTGTTGGGGTGAGTTAATTAACCTCAACTGAGTATACTTACCTTTTTAGTGTTTTTTAAAAAAAATATAAGTTTAACAAAATGTTATGTATATTTCACCCTAAATCTGGTTTTGTACTTGTACTCTTAGAAATTGTACATTTTACACTATACATGTCATTTCCACCCAAATAATTCTATATGTTCAAACAAAGCTTATGGGTTTTTTTCATGTTCTCTTATGTGACCTCTTTGCTAATATCTTACTTAACTTCATCCTGATCCTGATAACTAATAATAATACATTTGATTTGTAAAGGCGCCTTTCAAGGCTCTCAAGGTCGCCGTACACAAAACACAAAACCAAAACAAAAGTCCAGAAACACGACAATCAATAAAAACTGGGAAAAACTGAGGACGTCGTGTGATGTGATCAGGGTGGATATGCCAGTGTGAAGAGATGTGTTTTGAGACGTGATTTGAAAATCTAGAGAGAGTCAGTACTCTGTATGTCAGGTGGGAGGGAGTTCCAGAGGCGGGGTGCAGAGCGGCTGAAGGCTCTGGACCCCATGGTGGGGTACATTCACTCACCTCTTTGCTCTCCTTGCCCAGATTGAGAGTGGTACCATGGATGGAGTCACCCGGATGGCGGTGGTGAACGGCCTGTCCCACCCATGGGGGCTGACGATCCACGAGAACCACCTCTACTACACCGACCTGGACTACGAGGTCATCGAGAGGGTGGACAAGGACAACGGGGCCAACATGGTGGTGATGAGGAGCGGCATGTCTGGCCTGCGCGCCCTAAAAGTGCACGCCAGAGACAGTATGTGGAGTCACTGGTTTCTAGATTGTATTCTGAGTTGTCTGTCCTTGAGCTTTTTAGTGTTTTCAGTCAGACTGTTATATTATGCAACAGTTAATTACTGCGGATGAGAGAGCGAGTAGGAGTTCAGTGTCCTCCTCAAGGACAGCACAGAGCCGGATTTAGCACCACTTGTGTTTCATCCTTTGGATAGCTTTTGTGTTCATAAGGCCTTTGCCTTCCTTCACCCTCTGCATCGACGACAGCTGTGGCTGCACATTCATGTTTTCAGGTTGTCTGTATATCCATCCGTCCCATGCTTGTAAATGTGATGTTTCTGAAAGGCTTAGACGGAATTTCGATATATTTGGGACAAACATTAAAATGGTCTCAAAGATGAACTGATTACATTTTGGTGGTTTAAAGTCAAGGTCATGGGGACCTCATGTCTATATTATTCTTGAGGTATCGCAGGAAGGGATTTTGTGGAAGCAGGAATTTCCACGTGGCCTCAAGGAAGTACACATTTGTATTTGATGGTTAAAAGCCAATATCACTGTGACCTTGCGAACCCTTTTTTACAGCCATAACTCAAGAATTCATTCTTATTTTGACACTTAAATAAATGGCATATATGAAAAATTGGCAAAATAAGGACAGTTTGGACAGACATGGGTATAGACTACAACTTGCATTACATTTATTTGTAATCACTTTCATAACACACCATTTTTGTTAATGCATTTTTGAATGCTCTTAATAACTACTTAGCACTATTGAGCATACTATCAAGTCAAATGTTTTCTTCCACGTCAGATTCAGCAGGGACCGCCAACGCCTGCAGCTCCAACAACGGGGGCTGTCTCCACCTCTGTCTTCCAACACCAGACAATAAGAAGACCTGTGCCTGCACTACAGGATTCAACCCTTCTCCAGACGGCTCCCGCTGTGAACAATATGAGTCGTTTGCAATTGTCTCCACATCAAAGTACATCCGTGGCTTCCACATAAACAGCTCCGACCACTCCGAGGCTATGGTGCCTGTCGGCGGACGTATGTTGGCTTTATATTGTTCTGCGTTATTGTTGTTGGCTATAAATACAAAAATGATCAGTTGATTCAAGCAGCACGTTTTTCTTTTTCCAGCTTCCTACTCCGTTAAAGGCAAGTTGGACCTCCATATTGAATCTGGCTTTGTGTACTGGAGTGACAACAGCACCTCCACCTCATACAGGGGCATCTTCAGGGCCAAGACAGACGGAGGAAGATACAGCACTGTCCTCAACTCTGGCATTGGAAAAGGAGGCATTCAGGGCTTTGCTGTAGACTGGATTGCAGGTACAAAGCCACTCAACCATTCCTGTATTTATCTTACCATTGAGGCTCTGGGATCACCCACACACTAATAATTCACTGTATTATTGCATGCAGATCAAAACCCCTTATGTCTCCCCATTAACTTTCTCAGGTAACCTATACTTTACCAATGCCTTCGAAGGCGAGACATTCCTGGAGGTGCTTGCCATCAACACCACGTACCGGATGATTCTCCTCAAGTCTTCGCAGGACCAGCCTCGTGACGTGGCTGTCAGCCCTAAACTCCGCTACCTCTTCTGGACTGATGGTGGCCAAACACCCAAAATCGAGCGAGCCTCGCTGGACGGCACAAACCGCACTGTGTTGGCTTCAGAAAGCTTAGCGTCCCCTCGTGGCCTGACCATTGATTACACCAATGATTTCCTCTACTGGACAGATGACGTTCTTGATATGATCTCCAGAATGGCCGTAGACGGCACACAGAGACAGATTGTTCGGTACGGGAGCCGGTATCCGTCTCCAACAGGGATGGCTATATTTGGAAACTACATGCTGTGGGTGGATCAAAAGCTAGGGAAGCTCCTACAGGCCAGTAAGGACCCGGCCAATACCGACCAGCCAGAGGTGAGAGTCAAATGATTTAACAGTTTCTTCCAACGTGGTGACGTTTTTTTTTTTAATGACCTTTACATCAGAAAACTAAATTCTTTGTATAATTTGTGCAACTTGATGGGGATACGCACCATGTGGGCTCAAAGCTACATTTATTAGACACTTCAATGTAAATAACTTGGGTTGTGAATGTTCAATGCTCATTCCTGTAAATAACAGATTTTTTCTTCAATGGTACCAGGTTATTTTGGATAATCTTGACGGGCTGATGGATGTCTCTATCTTTGATGCTCATGTCCAGCCGACATCAGCCAACCAGGTGGGCTTCAACCCGTGTCATGAAGATAATGGACGCTGCCAGCAGCTCTGCTTCGCCCTGCCAGGCCAGGAGGCTCCGAAATGTGGCTGTGCTCATGGGTCACTCCTTAATAACGGAGTAACATGCGGTTACGGACTGGACGAGTTTCTAGTTTTCACCACAGACTTCACGCTGAATAGCATGAGGTTAGATCCTGCAGATCACAGCACCCCCTATCCAACCGTGAACTTAGGCTACAACTTGATGGCTTTGGATTATGACTTCAAAGAGAAGAGAATTTTCTTCACCCAGAGTTTGGGAATTGGTCGGAGCAGAATTGGCTACGTCACCACAACATCCATCACCACCCCGCCTGTCATTCTGGCTACAAGTGAGTTTAGTTTTACTATGTTACTAAAGGGCTGTACCAAATATCATATAATAATATAATAATAATATATAATAATTCTTCTATTGGGGATTTTGAAAGAAGTGTTGAAATGGTGTTTTCGTATTTTATGACGTCATTACCCGAAAAATACGTTATTATGGTTTAGGCACCAAGGATTACTGTTTGTATTAGGCTACATGCCCACAAATATCTATTCAAACCGAATAATAAATTAAATAAAAACATGTTGTGAATTTTGGAAATAATTACATTTATGATTTTTAATACATTTTTAATGAAACAACCCCACGCAGCCTCCAATGAAATCTTATTCCACAAATAGTATAATCATTTTCTCAAATTAAATTAGTTTAGCCTGATCTTTTCTGTAGAAGTATTTACGCATTATTGTTTTACTACAGAAAATTCTAACTATTTGGTCCCTTTGTTTTGTCTCCATCTTGAAAACGTTTTATCTCCCCGTTTAGTTTTTCTCCCACATCACTTTTTCTGTTTCCCTTCATGATCTTATCCTTGTGTTTTTCTCTTTTATTTATCATCCTCTGCTCTCTGATACACTGCTCAGATTTGGATGACCCAGAGGGATTGGCGTATGATTGGGTGAACAAGCGTCTCTACTTCACTGACTACTACAGCCGCACTGTCCAATCTATAGGGGCGGATGGGACGAACCGCTCAACCATCGCCCATGCAAACCGTCCCAGAGGCATCATTGTTGACCCCTGCTACGGGTAAGAAACACAGTCCATTACTTTACTACTAAAGGTCTACACATTAGACAATAAAGTTCCTCTCCTCCCTTCTCACGCTGCTCTTTCTGCCCAGCTACCTGTACTGGACTGACTGGGGCTATCCAGCTAAGATTGAGAGGGCCACACTGGGGGGAAACTTCCAGACCTCCATCATCAACACCAGCCTGTCCACGCCCAACGGCCTGTCTCTGGATTACGAGGAGAGGATGCTCTACTGGGCTGACTCCTCATTGTAAGTCCAGTTTTGTTTCCATGTACTGTTGCAGCAGATCCGATACTGCTCATAAAGTCTGACAACGCTCCTTTACTCCCTTTTGCTACAGAGACAAAATTGAGAGGGCCACTCTGACTGGGGAGAACCGACAAGTGATCGTGCAGGGGGCCCAGTACCCGTACGCCATGACCGTCTTCAAACAGGATATCTTCTGGACCGACTGGACTGAGAGAGCCGTCTTTAGGGCAGGGAAGGACGATGGCTCTGACTTTGCAGTGCTGGCCCAGGACATGCAGTACCGACCAAACGACATCCATGTTTATTCCGCGTCGAAGCAGGAGAGCTGCAACAGCTCCTGTCAGCAGTTCAACGGAGGCTGCAGCAATATCTGTGTTTCTGGTAAGAGCAGACTACTAAACAATACACCAAAGCCCCTCTAATACTGTAGTTTCATTTCCTGCTGGGGACAGTTATTGTATCCATTAGACTCATTGTTTTTTTGCTGCCTGTAATTCAGGCTAACAAAACTGAATACATTTTAACAGTAAAATCTTCCAAAAAAACATAAATCTGATACCATGATTGACACCACTAAGATAAGTGTTTTGTTTTGTTTTTAAAGTGAACTTTAACAATTAAAGCTTAAAGCAAGTAGAGAAAGTTCTGAACATCCTTAATAAAAACCTACATTTAATTAAAAAGACAGATTATCTCTGTGTTCCCTTCCTTTCCTCCACATGATCAAATTCCCTCACCTCCCATAATCTCTCCTGCAGGTCCGCTGGGCCCTGAGTGCCAGTGTCCTCATGAGGGGAAGTGGTACCTGGCCAACAACGGCAAAGACTGTGTCAAAGACACGGGGAAACGCTGCGAGCCAGATCAGTTCACCTGTCTCAGCGGTGACTGCATCTCAGCGCGCTGGAAGTGTGACGGCTACAACGACTGCTACGATAACTCAGATGAGCTGGAGAGAGTGTGTGGTGAGAGAAGAGGTTTAATCTGACTGAAACATGTAACGGTTCCAATCCAAACCAAATAAGCATGCAGACTGAAAAACATGTTAATTAGACACTGATGATAAAATGTGCCGCGCAATGTCAACTTGGGAAAAGGGACACACACATTATGTTGTTGTTATAAAACAAACATATATGAGACTGTTTTCTGTTGCTCCTCCTGCTCAGCCTTCCACACCTGCTCCGCCATGGACTTCACCTGTGACAATGGCCGCTGCGTGCCGATGAGCTACGCCTGTGACTACACGGACGACTGTGGTGACAACAGTGACGAACGAGGGTGCCCCTTCCCCACCTGTAACCCCTCCACAGAGTTCACCTGCACCAACGGGCGCTGCATCAGTGCAGCCTTTGTCTGTGACGGACACAACGACTGCCGAGACAACACCACCTCCGACGAGATCAACTGCCGTGAGTGATGATTCGGCTCATAATTCATAATGCTGGAAAATAGGACATTCGAAGATTGGAAAATGTTTCTGAAATTGTTCTTCTAATGTCATTTGTTCCACTGCACAAGCAATATTCTCCTTCCAGGTGGGATTCTGTGCTGCTAAAGAAGTAATAATGTGTTTTTGATTGTGTGGTTGATGTTTTGATCTTTGCTCTCTCCAGCTGACAGGACGTGTCCTGCAGGGCAGATCAAGTGTGAACGCAACAACATCTGCATCGACCCTGAGAACCTGTGTGATGGCTACAACAACTGTGGAGACAACAGCGATGAGAATCCTCTCTTCTGCGGTAAGTTCTATACTGCTGCTGGGTGAGAGGGCGTAAGAAACAGGCTGGAAAGAATAGTATCGCTCACAGACATGTTTCACCTATGGGAATAAAACTCATGGGTATTTGTCCGAATCTGTGTTCCTGTTCTTCAGCGGGTCACACATGCTCTCCGGATCAGTTCAGGTGCGATGGAGGGAAGTGTATCCCAGACTTTTGGGTGTGTGATTCCGTCCGAGACTGCAATGACGGGACAGATGAACCTCTCTCCTGCAGTGAGTTCTCTGCATTTACATTTTAAATGTTGGCATTTAAGACTTTGTAGTTCAAATTATAAAGTTCAGCTTTTTTTGCTGATAACTGGTCTGTAATTGAAATGCATCTTAAAAATATTTTTTCTTTTTTCGATGCAATACAGAGGATCAAATCAAAACATGCGGCCCAAGCCAGTTCACCTGTACAAATGGAAACTGCATCCCCCAGTTATTGGTCTGCGATGGCAACAACGACTGCTGGGACGACAGTGACGAGGCTCCAGAGCTGCAGTGCGGTGAGTCATTTATTCATTTCACTGTGTGAGGATTAAAGTGGGAATCTGGGTTAAAAGCTAGAAAATATTTCAGCAGAAATAAATGCCTCCTCGACACATTTGTAATGTCTAAATGTGTGACTTTTTTGGTATTACTTAGTTCTTCTTTTCCCTGTTGACCCCTCTCATCCTCACCCACTCCAGGCCAACGCACCTGCAGTTCGGACCAGTTCACCTGTCTGACCTGGTTCCCCGGCTACCCGCGCTGTGTGCCGTTAAGCTTTGTGTGTGATGGGGACAAAGACTGCGCCAACGCGGCCGATGAGCTCCAGAACTGCCCCAACCGCACCTGCCACATGAATGAGTTTGCCTGTTCCAACGGGCTCTGCATCTTCCTCCCCTACCAGTAAGTATGAAGTGTGTGAGTGAATAAAAATAGACATTCGTTTACCGGTCCGAAATCGAATTCCCTCGTCATCTCCTCCCCAGCTGCGACCGTGTGAATGACTGCGGGGACGGCAGTGATGAGTTGGGCTGTAGCTATGACACCTGCAGCAGCAGCGAGTTCACCTGCAGTAACGGCGCCTGCACCCCCGCCTCCTTCGCCTGCGACGGGGAGAGCGACTGCATGGACGGCTCGGATGAGGCCGACAGCTTGTGCGTCACGACCCAGCCCACCTGTGCTCCCACGCAGTACATGTGCAAGTCAGGCGAGTGTATCGACATCAACAAGGTGTGCAACGGACAGAAGGACTGCCAGGACAACAGCGACGAGAAAGGATGCGGTGAGAGAAATGTGGCGTCATGTGACAAAAGGGACAAAACAGCATTTCTCTCCCACAACGAGACAGTGGTTTAAAGAAGATCCCTCGCCACCATAGAGTTGTATAAATGTTTTTATTTCAGTGGAGACAAAAAAAAGGTTATGTACAATCCTGAAATCTTTGTGTAGTTGGGTGCTTTATGACCCGAAACATTGCCTCTCTTTTTTAGATATCACCATATTTTACGAAAAGTGTGCTTGAACTAAGTTGGACCAATAGAAGAAATATCCCATTTCCAATATTATATGAATATACACAAGAACTTAAATGGGACATAATGTGCACATTTTCAGGTTAACACCATATACAATGTATAGCTAACACATTGGGTTTATATATAGATAAGAGTACATATGCTCAATTCCAGCAAAAATAAAACAGGAAATATTTAGCTTTTTCTTTTCATGAATAAGTTCAATACATTTCCACATTTGTATATCATTTTTTGTGAATCCATTCATTGATGTATTGTTATATTCATCTGTGAAAAATCCTTGTTACTCATTTAAAATTACATTGAGGTCTTTGAACTCATAAATCTGTGTTACGTTGTTTTCCTGTCTTTCCTCCAAATCACCCTTATTCCTCGTTCTGTTCAGGAATCAATGAGTGCCGTAGCCCGTCAGTCCACAAGTGTGCGCAGCTGTGCACCGACACCCTCACCGGGTTCTACTGCTCCTGCAACGCCGGCTACCGACTCATGCCCGATGGCAAAGCGTGCGAGGACCTCGATGAGTGTACCAGCACACCCGCCGTCTGCAGCCAGGTCTGCGAGAACACTGTCGGGTCGTACCACTGCAAATGTGCCCCGGGGTACCTCCGTGAACCGGACGGACGCACCTGTCGTCAGAACAGTGGCATTGCGCCCTACCTGTTGTACAGCAACCGCTACTACATCCGAAATATAACCACCGATGGGTCACATCTGAGTATCGTCCTGCAGGGGCTCTCCAATGTAGTGGCTTTAGATTTTGACGACCAAGAGAAGAGGCTTTATTGGCTGGACGCGGGGACGGGGAAGATTGAGAGGATGCGTTTTGACGGGACTGACAGGGAGACGTTGAAAGACGATGCAAGAGAAGTTGAAGGCCTGGCGCTGGACTGGGTGGGCAGGTGTGTGACATGGATGGAATATCATTCATTAAGCTGACTTTTTAAATCACTGTTTGGATACTTTATTAAGAAATAACCAGAGCAAATTTGATTTAAAAAACACCTCCGTATCTGCAGGAGAACTTTTGCTCCTTTTCTTCTTCTTTTAATATCTAACACTGTTTTTAGTATTTAATCTGTCTGGTTGATCAGTAAAAGCGTTTTGTATGTTGCAGGAAGTTGTACTGGGTGGACGGTTATTACGGTTCGGTTCATGTGATGGAGCTGGATGGGCGCTACCAGAAGAGACTGCTGTCAGGAGAATTCACAGAAGGAAATACAACTTATGTCATCAGCCGACCTCGTGCTGTGGCTGTTAACCCGAAATATGGGTACTAACACACACACACACACACACACACACACACACACACACACACACACACACACACACACACACACACACACACACACACACACACACACACACACACACACACACACACACACACACACACACACACACACACACACACTAATAGTAATATCGCAAAACAAATGGAAAAACCTTGGGGTGTTACACACTATACGATTCCATTCAGACCGTGTTTTTGTGTATTTATTGTTTTGCTCTTATAGAATAATCAATAAGCACATTAAAAAACTATAACTTTACTTTTTAGATTAACAGAGGTCTGTGCCACCTTTTAAGACTTTTTAAACCCCTAGAAAGATCTAATGGTAGGCATTTAGTGCACATTGTCTATCTCATCTTATACCGTCAACGATGATAGGAAAGGTAACAAAACGCCTCATCATATTAGATAACACTAGCTGATTGCTTTTTACTGAAGATTTTTAATAGCAACATTTCCCCAACAATGTACCCTTTTTCCCCAGATGGCTGTACTGGACTGACTGGGGTGACACAGCATATATCGGCAGAGTCGGCATGGATGGAAGCAACATCAGTGCCATCATCACAACCAAGCTGGAGTGGCCCAACGCTCTGACCATCGACTACACCACCAACAAGATCTTCTTCGCTGATTCCCACCTGAACTTTCTGGAGTGAGTGTAGAAGTTCAGACACAAGATTATTATGAGTTTCCATCAGATATGCTTAAATGGGGATCTGAAATGGTTCCCGAAGTGTTTCCTGTATAATGGTATCTGTTCTTTCATCGTGTATTAACCCTCCACTGTGTCCACCTTCAGTTTTGCCGACATGGACGGCAAGAACCGCCACCGGGCCATTGCTGGTACACTTCCTCATGTCTTTGCTGCTTCCCTGTTTGAGGACTGGGTCTACTGGACGGACTGGAACACACACACAGTGGAGAAGGCTCACAAGTACACAGGAGAGCAGCGCACGACCATGGGCAACAACACGCATCGGCCCTATGACATCCGCGTCTCCCACCCCTACAGGCAGCCTCGCAGTACGTACATTTGAACAGCAGGTTGTATTCCTATTGTCTCCATAGACTGCCGAATTGACAAATATGTTTCAATTTCCCAGGTGAAAACCCCTGCTCCTCCCATTACCTGACCTGCAGTCACCTGTGTCTGGTTGCCCCCGGCGGGGAGAGAGCTACCTGCCAGTGTCCAGATCACTTCATCGGCCTCGCTGTGGGCTTCAAGATCCAGTGTGTCGCTGACTGCTCAAGCACGCAGTTCAGATGCGGGGACAACGAGAAGTCAGTCAGATAAATAATCAGCTGATACTTCACAGTCATCAGAACGCCATTCATCTAGCCAGCCTTTGGAAAGTGATGAGAGTGATCATTTGCCGAGCTTTAAAGTTTGGGGAATTGAACCAATTATGAATATTGTAGAACATTTTCAATTCAATCCTTTAAAGCCCTGGATTATTTCCATCACTCTCTCTGGTGTTTATGCAGTATTACTTAAATATATATAGATATATTAAAAATAAGAGCTGAAAAACTAGAAAACTGTCTCAAAGCAGATAAGGGACAAGGAGTAAAAGTAAAAGGCTGTAGAAGAGATTAGATAATTTGACATTTATATTCTGTGAGGTAACCAGTGTGTGCTCTCTCTGGTCCCTAGGTGTGTTTCTATATGGTGGAAGTGTGACGGCCAGTCAGATTGTGGTGACGGCTCAGATGAACCTCAGACCTGCCCGCCCCGTTTCTGCCCCATCGGCCAGTTCCAGTGTCAGGATGGAAACTGCACCTACCCCGGCTTCCTCTGCGACGGCCACTCCGACTGCCCTGACAGCTCAGATGAGGATGCAGCTCTCTGCAGTACGTAAACAATCATAAAAATAGGGATGATAATAATAGCAACTGTGATCAACTGCACCATTGTGGGAAACCACAGAGATAGTTGAATTTGAAGGTATTTTACGCTGACATTTTAGGTCTTTAACTTCACTGGATTTAGATAAGGTGACATTTTGGCTCAAATTCTGAAAAACAAAATGTACTAGTTAAAGGACACATGTCATGCTTTTCCGGTTATTACCCGTCCCCTTGTGTGTTATGAAGGTTTTTCTGCATGTAAACGGTCTGCAGAGTCAAAACCCTTAAAGTACACCCTGTAGCGAGTAAAACTCTAACACAGAAAAGACCTCCCCAAAACGCCTCGTTGGTGAAACGTCATCATCCAACGTTGGTGAAACGTCATCATCCATTTGATTCTTCCGGGTACGTGCTTACGAAAGCACGTACCCGGAACTAAATGGGCCAATCCGTGGAGCTGTTACGTTACGTCCGCGGAGCCGTTACGTTAAGCCCCCGCTGATTGGTCCAAATTGACCAATACACACACACACTCAGTGCAGGCAGCTCTGCTGATCTCTCCTCCCTGGCTGCAGGCTGATAACAGACAGTTGGGATCGCGGCGAAATTCTCTCTGCAGACCCATTCTCACAGCGTTTATCAACCTATAAACCTTTTTCTTACTCAATATCAAGCCACACTTATTGTTTTTATTTCAGCTGTGACTTTGTGTGTGCTCAGGGTGAGTTTGGCTGTGTTTGGCTGTGTATCGCTAAACAAGGAAATCACACCTCCACGGAGCTGAGCGCGATTCACAACGTACCGACCAATCAGAGCACACTGGGCTCACAGGGAGGGAGGGGGGAGCTGCAGCGAGCCGTTTAGTGGAGAAAGTGAATACTGCTGAATACACATACTTTACAGAGATGCTGTATGCGAAACCAATGTGAGTTTGGAAAATTGCGCAGTATTTTTCTATTCTAGTAGACCTCAACAATGGAATTATGATCAGTGGAAATGGCCATGACACCTCTCCTTTAACGAAATCACTTAAAATCAAACATAGCCACTAAGACTTAGCTAAGGCAATTTGTTCATTTTGGATTTACCTTAACATTTCAAACATGAGTCAAGCTGCTTTCTATCCTCTCAGGTGACCACCGATGCCAGGAAAACCAGTTCCAGTGTAAGAACAAGAAGTGCATCCCAGTCTCCTGGCACTGCGACGGAGTGAATGACTGTGGGGACGGCAGCGACGAAGACGCAGACATGTGCTCGCAGAGGACCTGCACACCGGGACAGTTCCGGTGTGCTAACGGACGCTGTCTGCCGTCCAGCTACGTGTGCGACGCCCAGGACGACTGTGGGGACGGATCTGATGAGCCGTATGAAACCTGCAGTAAGTGGGACATCAGGAGATGGTGGTGTTGGTGAATCAGGGTTCATTTTATCAGCTATTATTATGTTATCTACTTCAAAAGTCATTGTTTTATTTGATGTAGTCAACAATAGTATAGTTTAAGTCAATTAAACTTGTTTTTTTGTCATCAGATTATATTAAACATTTCAGTGAATCTACTCTAGCCCAAACCATGTTGTATCATTATTAACTTGTTACTTACTAATATTTTGTTGTGTTTAATTAAAATGTCTCATCTCTCTTTTTGTCTTTCTCCCCCCAGTGGGTCCGGACTACAAGTGTGATGCGGACACTGAGTTCTCCTGTAAGACAAACTACCGCTGTGTCCCTCAGTGGGCTCGCTGCGACGGCACCAACGACTGCATCGACAACAGCGACGAGCAGGGCTGCGGTCAGTGTGGCAGCAGAGGGTTTATGTCATGTTGTGGGGCTGTAACGAAGTCCAGTTGAAGAAAATCACATTTTGCAATACAGTACCGTTTATTACTTTATATGTTTTACGTTTACATTTGATGTCGATAATCCTTATAGAGGGTGTCCGCGGGGTCTTAAAAAGTATTAAAAGTTGATAAATCAATTTAGCCAAAATTAAGGCTATTAAAAAGTATTAAACGGCATTTTCCAAGGTATTAAGGAATGAAACTCCCTTTTAATTTACTGAAACGGCATGTGGGGAAACCCCCTCAAGGCGGCCCCATGCATAGTGCGCCACTCCGCTCTGTGGGGGGGGAAGGGAGGGGAGAGAGTCTGTCGATGGGGATCAAAGCTGTCCGGTCCCACATGCTAAGTGCTAGCCAGAAAACCGCGGCGTGTAAGTCCCGATTCTCCTGATGGCCAATCCGTGCCTCCCCTGACTGCACGTTGCTGACACACACCGCTGCAGTGCAGGCTCTCTGCACGGAGGAGCCGCGGAGTCCGGGCGATGCTGCTCCTCCAAGGAAGAGACACATGTTCACTAAGCCAAACTATATCCGGTCACAGAGATCTGCTATTTTAAAGTAAAGTCAACACATATCGACCCTAAATATAGTCTATATTAAGAACGAGAAAAGTCTTAACATATATATCGTTTTGTGTAAACATATGACAAATGTGTGAGGGTGATGACGTCAGAGCATTGTCCTATGTGCAGGGCTTAGCCCCGGAGAGTGCAGGGCCAATTTAACCCCTGGGTATTTGTGAGGGAGCTCCTATATGTCATTACCCCGCTGAAGCTCACCAAAGTTTAATATATTTCATAGTTCAAAGTTTTGTCAATTGTTTTGTTTATTGGTCAAATACTGGTTTCTAATGTTTTCTGAGGAGTTTTACTGGAATGAAAGAGCACAGAGTCTACAGAAGCAAAAAAGCAGCATACTGCATTAAACCTGACCTTCACAGAGAGGTTGAAGTTCATGTGGAAAGGAGGCTTCAGTAGTCTGTCTGCACTCTGTTTAGTTGTGCTGTCTTACAATCAATATAGTAAATGTGAGGTAAAGTGTGTTGCCAATGTAACCGGTTAGAACTCAAAGTTGCGATGAGGTCTTAAAACGTATGGAAAGGGTCTTAAAAAAGGTCTTAAAAGGAATTAAATTTGACTTCAGGATTCCTGCATATACCCTGTTATAGAGTTTATTGAGGATGAACAGAAATGTTAGAAAAAGCAAACGGG